TTAAAAGAAACATGACAATTAAGACAAAGTCCATGGCAGCACATGACGGCAGTTTATGTGGTGTTCTTCTACCAACAGAAGAACAAAGTCTGAGCCATGTAATTACATACTATAATATCCAAAAGTTGCATTTTGATTTTAAACAACCTTGTTCTTTGCAGAAACATACAATTTTATTTTTTTATTTTTAAGTATCCAGTTACAGCTGCAGGAGTAAGCAGCTTACTCATACTTACATACTAAATGAGTGGAGGTCTAAACACATTAAGTGTTTTTAGTGGCTAACCGCTCAAGATGCTAAACTGAAAAGCACTGGACCACCTGCCACCAGAAACGTAAATGGAATGTGGGAGTCGCATCTGTCCATTTTCCCTGTCCCTGCCACACGTGTAATTATTAGCCTTCACAAAGATTAAGGCAAAAGTAATCTTTTATTGCTCAACCCACTTGAATTTGTCCTGACAGATTTCTCCTAGTTCACTAGCATGTTGGGCAGAAATTCAGCCCTAACTTCTGTTTGATGTGTTATTCCAGATACTTCAATTTAAAATGTTTTCCTTTTTTTATTTTTTATTTTCTCAGAGAAATCTCCAACAAGCTATTTTATTCCTGCCACACAATGACAGGTTTTAATTGCTGGCACTTGTTGCGCTGAAACAGGAATCCCTAGCATCAAAATGAAGAGAGTATCCACTGCATTGGCAAGTTTTACTATGGTCACAATCTCTCCCCCAAATAATTTACAATTCAGGTGGAAAACAAAAAAAAGAAGGGCAATGCACCACATGAGTATAAAGAACTACAGATCTGGATTAACAACAGATACAGTAAAAAGCTGCACACATTGAATCCTGTGCATGAGGCAGCGATTCAGAGGACGACTCTGGCAGGCCCGCAACCCAGCCAGCATCTTCACTCCAGCTGCTGCAGTGAGACACACGAAGAGACTGCTAGCGCTAGGCTGCTCTCTGCCAGGTGGTGCTTTTGCACACAAAATGCTTCCTTAGCTTCTTCACAGGGCACATTTTACGGAAGGCACTTTGTTAGGGACCAGAGAAACTTCTGCCACATTTGTCCCAGAAAGGGTACCAGGGCTAGGAAGAACAACATGCATCAGCATGGTATAGCAGAAGGTGGAAAAATCCTTGCAGGGTGCAATTAGCTAGTAAGTACCCACTTCAGAATAACCCTCTTTTAATAAATAATAAATAAATAATCCTCTTTAAAAAAAAAGTTTTACTGCTTTGAAAAGGGGACACACACCAAGTCTTCTGTGAAAAGCTGCTTGGTTAACTTTCTTTCTGTCTAAACACAGTATATCCCCACAGAACCCTTAAGTCAGGGCTGCACTCTGAGTACAGCCCTGGCGCTTACCACCCTTCCCGTTGTCCGCTCTGCAGCCTTGCCACTGCACAAATTGCTCTCCCATGACCTAGTTTACTGTGTCCAGAGTTTTCCCACACTTCGAACTTTGCAACGGATCAGAGGACTGAATCCAACACAGAATCAAAGAGCTCCCAAAGATGCCCTTCTCCGCGGTGCTTGCTGTGCCAATGGTGATACATTATTTAAGAGCAGCTCCTGGCCAGTCTCATGGTATCTGGAAGGTACTTGATTTCAGCAATGAACTGTTTGCTCCAGTGAAGTGCTGGGAAGGATGACAGCCTGCTCTGGCTTACCAGTTTAGAAGAGCAATGCAAACTGCTTTTTCCCTGTCCTGAACCAGGAGGAGGGCTGGAACCAGCAAATTTCGTGAAGACAACTGCCCAGCAAATCCAAAGCACTGGAAGTGGTGGCAAGAAACAGGACACTTCAGCCAAATTCCTTTCTTTGTAGAAATGGGTAGGGTACCATTGTTATCTAAATCATACACTAAAGCGTAAATTTACACTTTATGAGCTGTTCTAAAATCTGCCCTGCTTAATAATCTGTATCAGCAAGAAAACACTTTAAAGTGTCTCTCACAATTAAACCCAGGCACAACCTTGTATAAATCAAAATTTTGCTACCATATCAAAACGTTACACTAGGGCTATATAACATTGCCCATACCCTCATTACATGCTACACTAATTACTACCAGCAGATTCAGAATTTTCTGCACATTAGAGGCCTTTAGAGGAGCTATAAAAAATTTCAGGCACCATTAATTTAAATTTGTATTGAAATTTCCTTTTGACAGATGGCCAAAAATTACTTACAATTTAGAGTACCAGAGCTGCCTGTTTGCACATTAGAAGAGGAAAGGGAAAAATTAAAAGCAAGAAGGAAATTTATGTCACGTTCATTACCTGTTAAATGTTAAGGAGCATTATCCTGCATGAATAAATTATTTCATACAAGCACACAGGCTCCAGCTGCTGGCAACTGGCACATTCTGGCTGACAAAAATAATCTCAAGTCACACAGCAGACAATCATAAAAAGCCTCTCTTAACCAGGAGCCACTTAAGGGAGGACAGATAGATCCAACAAGCGCTAACCACTACTCTGGGCATCACTGAAAACATTTAAGCAAATTAGCAAACTATTTTACCTTGCAAAACTGGCAGCAAGCCCCATAATGCTGACACACAAGCCAACTTGCAACCTAAACACAGTGCAAGACAAACATCTACTTATCATTTCAAAGTAAATTGGCACGAAGTAGAGACGCCCTCCTCTCCCTCTCAAAGCTGTATGAATAACAGTGCCTTTGAATCACTCCTGACAAAACCAGCCTTTTTGGTATAAACATTTCTCGGAACACCCATGCCAGCATAAACACCCCAACATCCCACAGATATTACAGAAACACTACTAGTATATTTTGTTTAAAAACAGGGGTTGGCATATACTAGCAGTTCTCATTAATACTTTCTTTAGTGCAATACTTGTGGTTCGAGCTGTACTGGTATGCAAACTCAGACCAGGTGAGTCTGAATTCCCACATTTAGGTAACTGCCCTACTTGTTTGTTTGGGTGCAGAAAAAAAAGAAAATAAACTAAACCTACCTGTTCACAGCAAACGCGGTGTGCTCTAGGGAAACCATTGTTAATCTGCACCCAGCCTTGCGGCATAAAGAAATAATCCCAGTTTCTGGCCCTCATGACAAGGAAGCTGAAGTGAAATTCAATGCACTGTTGTCCTGTGTCGGCAGATAGACAGCTTCAGTGCCTTTGCTGCTCACAGTAGAAACTGACAGTTCCTGTCAGCTGCTGGTTGTTACGCAGAGCCATGTGGGTAACATGTGGGTAACAGCAAAACTGACAACCAACGGTTGCACTCAGCTGGGACGCAGCAGAGTCGCCAGTGGCAGAATGGGTGCGCTGGGGAAGGCTGTGGGATACTTCCCCATCTGGAGCTGCTAGAAAAGCAAAGGCATAGCCCCTCGCACGGCAGCCCTGGACAGACAGGTGTCTGCTGAGAGAAAAGCCTATGCCTGGGCACCCTGCTCCTCCTGACGTTGTCTAGGGCACACCACTAACCTGACAAGCTCCTGGTAATCTTATCTAATGCACCCAAGACTCATGCCTCAACTCAACACCTCTTCTGCCATTTGACCAACCTCAAGAAAAAACTACATCTGCCTAAAAAAAGCATCATGAAAAACTTGACAAACTGCTTGTAAGTGCTCAATAAGGTAGGCACAGGTCTTGCCTTTTGCAAGAAAAGTGTATCTTGCACACTCACCTTCACCTATAAAGACTTAATCTTACGCTCCTGAAAGCTGTGCAAACCACTCAGGCTCTACGCTGTATCTGCACACAGCTACCCGGAGCTGGGCAAGTAACTGTGTAGCTTGCAACAACTGGGTCTGGTTGTTGGTAAATGGCCAGCAGCATCAAGGAGAGCAGACTGATCCAGGATAGGGCAGGGCCAGGATGCACCTCCCCACTTGCAGCATTAAAACCCTAGGAGCCTCTGAGAGACTTTGCTGGACAATCATCCAGGCACATATGCTGAATTGTAGTTGTATGCATCACTGAATGCTCAAAATCACATGACCCACAAGGTGTGTATTACATCTACTTATCAACACTACCATGCACAGGATGGTGCACATATGTACGCTGCAGAGTCACTCAGAGCCTGAAAATTAACTTTTGGAAAAGGAAGGCAGGATCCTTAGTGCAAGTACCACCTTCATCAGGGTAGGGAACGGCAGCTCACTCCTCTCCAGCTGCTTTGGCAAGGACAACGGGAAGCATCCCACTTCTCCCCTGTGAGTGACAGAGCTCTCCTTCCTTAACTGTATTATTATTAGGATATACTGGAATTACAGTTTACAGCCTCCAAATGACTTAAAACTACTGGCTAATTCTTGTTGTCTCACAAGCTTCAGCAGAGACTCCAGGCAGCCCTTTCCTTGTATCCAGAAAGAGCCTGAATGCTGTTCCACCAAACTCACTGGATGGCATATTGCCTACAATCCTAGATCCCCCACTACCATGTTCAGGGCTCTGCTAATCAACACCAGCAGCACAGCCCGGTTTCACTTTGTGACTTTTTCCACCACTCCAGGCCGTACTTCAGAAAAACACAGCATGCAGCTCTTTCAAGCCACCCTTTACACCTGTGAAATGGAATCCTACCTTGATGGAGTCTCTGTCTGCATGCAGAGCAGGCCCCATGCGCAATGAGGGGAGGAGGCAGTGGCAGGGGATAGGGAGTTGGAAGGAGAGATAAAGAGAAAAGTACTAGTTAGTTTACACAGAATTATACATTTATCATACTTGGAAAAAAGAATCCTGATGTTTTTTAAATAATAAATTGCACAGATGTTAACTTTTCTGTACGGTTAATTATTAATACTGTACAGCCAGATTTATAAAAACAGAGTTCTAGCATTTGAACACAATTTCTGGCTACTGCTAGGTAATAAATACTGAAGTAACTAGCTAGGAATTCTTGTGAAAACTCCTTTCTTTTTCTTTTTTTTTTCAGTCAAAAGAGCAGAGCTTAAAAAAAAAGTAATAAGAGAAACGAATGAAGCCACACACTCATCTGGCAGTGCCTACCTCTTTGGTGATCATTATCATGGTGCTTCTTCTCGTCTTTAATTGGGAGGTGAGACTGCCCTCCCAGAGCACTGGACAGTGCCAGGAGACCAGCACTGCTGCCAATGGGTGGGATGGCTGGAGGCTGTAAGCCCGAAGGGTGTGGAGTGAGCGGCACAGGAAGACCGTGTCCATGTGACAAATGTTGGGCCTGGAGTTGTTGCTGCTGTGAAAAACGAAACACAGATATTGAATTTGTTCAGAGAGCCGGGGATTGTCTGATTGATCCTGTACATCAAACGTGATTGATCAGATCAACCAATGCACCCGATCAATCTAGATATCAAGTCTCACAAACATCTTGGCATTTTATAAATGTCCATATGTTTGGACACAGCAGAATTGGAAAACTTCAGGCTGAATTAAAAGAATAATAATAAAATAAAATAAAATAACAAAGGAAAGGAATTTTACATTTTTGGTGAAATTTTTATTTCTCTGACAGAGGTATTACATTTTACTTTTCCTAGCAGAAACGCACTGTGTCTAATCAAAACATATGTAACTATAAAAGCAGTTATATAACGCAAAAAAAAAAGATGAAAACTGAGAAAATTAGTGTTAAACAGTTCTCCCAGTGCTACTGCACAGCATGCAGTGAGAGTTAATTTGAAAGAGAAAACCTGAATTAACAATCCAGAAAACGAAACTGGTTGCAGCCACCGTTTTAAGCCCTTTAAGTGTCCTCAGCGGTACTTGAGCAAATTACTAAAGAAAATCTAATGTAGCAAAGCTTGGGTCCTCCTGTAGGCTTGCTCAATAGTGCTGAAATAATTGGGCACTCTGTGCACGTTTAGTGATGCTCGAATGAAAAGCTAGAGGCCTGCCCTTGTACTCTTCTCTAGCTGCTGACTCTGTGTTGTGACAGGTTTATTTGAGTGGGACTGTGATGCATGCACCAGTAACTGCGCTGACAAGAGTTTAAAGTCATTTTTACTAGTACACTGGCAACACATAGAGAAAGCCCTTGAGAGGTTCGAATTGGAGTGCTTGACCTCAACCAGGACTGCATCAAGCTCTGTGCTATACTAACCATTGTAGGGCAGATAGATTGCTGCTACTCAATGGGAAGGCAGTAGGTAAAAATATTCACAGGTGAAAAAGTTATGTTAAATATATCCCAAGAGAGAGCTGTTCAGGTGTGAGGCTTGCCCAATAACTGCCTCAACTAATTTCTGTTTAAACCATAACTAGATTAGCTCTGAAATAGTCTTCTTGTTTTCAAGCAGTCACTGCTCAGGACTCAGGGCAAATCAAATCAGAAGTCCTCTAGGACTGCTGTCTCCCCCTGTACATCTATATAAGGGACTTTGGAAGAAGAAGAAATAAAAACTTAACTTGCTTTGCATAAAAACATTCCATTTAAAATTCTTAATTGCAAAGATTCATGTACTGCTTTTGTCTGTTTTCCATTTGAACCTGAATTCACTTCCCATCTCACAAGTCAGCTCTTTAATCAATTAAGAGACAATATGCTGTTTACTTGACTTTTCCCTTCCCTCCCTAGCATGAATCTAGGTAACTCATGCAGCACACATCACACATGCCTCCCTCAACACTCCCATGCAAAAGTACAGATCCTTCTCTTCATCTGGGAAACACAATCCAGGCACTGGAATCAAACTGGCAGTGGCATGCACATGTCATCCGGCCTAGATCAGTGCCAGGGAAAGGAGGGTAGAGGACCAAAAGGAAAGCGAGAAAAAAAGATTATTCAAAAAATACAAAAAAGGCAGAGGAGGCATGAAAAAAAAAAAAAGAAAAACAGAAAGAAGATTCTTCCAAGTGGAAGAGGAAAGGCTCAATCCTTTCCCTGCTTGCAAATCATGTTATTCCAGCAGCTGCTGCTTCTTGTAGAAAGCATCAAACACATTTTGCTTGCTTGATGCTCTTATGGAAGGATGCTTCATTTCTCAGAATTTTAAATTAACTAAAACAAAACAAAGCAAGAGCCAATAGTGTATTATTTAGCTTCAGGGTTTGAATGGATCTGCCTTACAGGAAGAGAACAATCTGGCATGCCTGATCTGGGGAAGGAGGAGGAGAGTGAGAGAAACAAAAGGAATAGACAAAATAATGTATTTTCTTGAGTCCCACTTTAAACAAGGAATTTCCCATTCCTGTTCAAGAACATGCTATAAACCACTGCAAGAAGACATCTGCCTGAATCTGTCAGTGGCTTGAAGCCATGGCTTTGAGAAGAGCCCCAGAAAATCAACAGTGACAGAGCTTTCCCCTGGTTAACAATGTCACTGTCGACCGAAGTGTACCAGGTCGGGGACAATCATTGCAGAGTACTGTACAATCTGTACAGATCTGCCTACTGACCTACCCAACTTCCATTATATGACCTCCTTTATGGATGCAGGATGGTTTCTGAAGAACTTGAAGAAAACTGTATTGCAAATGCAACCCCTTTTTTTACCGCTCTTTGTTGGAAACCTCTCTACATAGCTCTGCAAGAGAGCAGCACAGACTGCACCTTGAATGAATCAAACATCATAAACGCCTTCCAGACAAACTGTGGGCATTAAGAATAGCATAAGCAATGACATCTCAGTGCCTAGTGGCTTGCGATCACCCAGAACAGCATGGCTGGCTCCATCCCTTTTGGCCAAGAACCAACGCATTTTCACTGCAAGTCCAACTGCAGGGACTCTTGAAAATAACTGGAGTGAGTAGGGAGAAAAACCCAAACTCACAGCCATCCTCCCATGGAGAACAAGTTCTTCCATGGAAAATGATGGAAATGTGAAATCTGGAAAGAACGTGACCCTGCAGTCACATAAGTGTCATTCACTGACACAGCAGAAATTTGGTGCAATTTAGTCACATTGTAATGGCACAAAGATACATACTTTGGTATGAAAACCAGACTTTTAAATAAATATAAGCCAACACCCAAAATTCCAGTATAGCCCCACATGCCTGTACCACATAGACACTGATAACATTGTGCATGTTGTTAGACTGGGGTGGGACTAAAAGTTCAACAACAGGAGGAGGATTGTGGACTGCATTGGTACAGGAAAGGACTACAAGCTCCTCCAACACAATGAGTGATGATGTATGGCAGAAGTGAGGCACTGGTATGAAAACAGGAATTACAAGAATTCAAGTCAAACACTGGGCAGACTTTTGCTCTCAGAATATAAAAGAGCAAAAGAACAAAAGTATATGATTGCATAATTAAGCACTGTTTGCTAACAGGCATACTCAAGAAGGTAAAGACAAAGTGACAAGAGCATCTCTAACTGCCATTTCCAGACCTTTGAAATCTATTACTTTATTCAAAGGCCCATGACATTCACAGCTTGGTTTTACTTTTCCACTGCCCATGAGTGCCACTGGTATCATTAGCTTCCTGGGTGGCCTGTAGACACCTGCTTGCTTACAGGGAAAGTTATAAAAACATACATAATCCTTAACCCACTGGGCATCAGGTTAGTGCTACAAAGTGTTAAAAAAGGTGGTCTCCCCTAGTCATCAAAATGCCAAAGATATGGAGGAGTAAGACAACTGACAGCTATTCTCCCCACACAGAAATATTCCACTATGGAAGAAAGTTTACATTTCTTTCTGCTGTACCATGAATTTAGATCATAAAATCTGACACAATTGAAAAACTTGCAAGGAAAGCCTGAAAATGAGCCAACTAAGCAACCACATAATTTTGTTGATGTTGCTGTAATGCTTTCACTTCCCACTCCTCCATCTTCTAATTTGTTATCCTTAGTCACATTATTTATGAACTCTTTGCATGGGGTTAACTTTAGACAGTCCCATCACAGCTGAGTACAGTATGCATAAAGTCAAGCATACATTTTCAGCATCAATGCATAATAGGGGAAAACTCGCAAAGACAGTACACCAGGCTTTACTATGCTGTAAATTTTCCAGAACTATTTAAAAATAAAAACTGCAACAGTTAGCTACCAAGAAATATGCCCTATAGAATTGCAAAATAAACTGCAATGTTTTTAAGAAACATCCAACATACAAAAAACCCAGCAATCAGACAGAAGCCAAAAAAGAAGACTGCATTATTTTTGGCAATAAGTTTAAGAAGATGATCATTTAAATCAGCTCAGTAGTAAATACTGAAGAAAAACTTTCAAGACATTTTAGACATGTCAAATAAATACAACATCTATTTGCTACTATTTTGTTTTTCTGTTTTGTGGTTTGGTTGGTTGGTTGTTTTTTTAAATATTTTCTGTACATTTTTTAGGCAGTCTACAGTGAGGAGTAAAGTAACTCCAAAACCACATCTAAACAAATGGGTAAAAAGGCTTTGCAAAAGGTTCTTATCTGAGTATCACTAATTTTTACAACTGCAATTCTAAATATTGATGCTCAGCTTAATTCTTTTCCCAACACATCTTAAGAGATCAAATTTGAAGTCAAATGTGATAATAAACCCACTAACAAATTAACTTCTAATGCTCTCTTGTTATAGTCAGCACATTCAAAGCCTACTTTCCTGGAAAACATTCAAGTTGTTACTGGTTACTTTCCAAGCAGCTCTGTGCCGCAGTAATCTACTACTTTTCCTCGTACAGACCCTAAAATCTCACAGCCATTATCCAAAGAACCTGAACATACTCCTCTAACCTGAAGACATTTTTAATGTTAACAAACTAATGTCTCAAAAAGGTATTTTACATCTATATACATGCGTGCACTACCCACATCTGCAATACTGCTGGGAGAGGACATCAAAAAATCTGGATAAAATATCTTAATTGTTTGTTTGAAATTTGTTACATGAAGTGATTGATTGCTCAAAGTGAATCATTAGTAATACAGTATACTGATAAAACAGTAACCAACATTGCCGGCTCATGATGAGTTTTTTGTGGACTGACAGCTCCAAGTTCATCCAGCCTGGGTCAGGGCGATCCCAAGCACAAATACAGACTGGGTGGAGAATGGCTCAAGAGCAGTCCTGAGGCAAAGGACTTGTGGGGTATCTATCAATGAAAAACGCAACATGAGCCGGCAATGTGCATTTGCAGCCCAGAAGGCCAATGCTGTCCTGGGCTGCATCAAAAGAAGTGTAACCAGCAGGGCAAGGGGGGTGATTCTGCCCCTCTACTCTGCTCTTGTGAGGCCCCACCTGGAACACTACGTCCAGTTCTGGGGTCCACAACATAAGAAGGACATGGACC